GCGCTGAAAACGCTATTCCGAGCGTTTCAAAGCGATAGGAGCTTGGGAAAGTGGTTTTTCTAACAAACGCTTATATGCACCAGCTTGTAATACTTTTCAGAGATATTGTCACATGTTTCTAATGAAATCCAAAAGAAAATTGAATGTTTACTTTAAAATGCATAATATGTTAATGACGGGTTATAAATTCTAAATCGTGAATTATAATGTTTAGAAAGTCATTATTCATGAAATATGCACTCCCACACTGTTTTTATTACGATCAACTATTTGCTGTCTGAAGGGTGAGCTTTGTGCGCTGAAAACGCTATTCCGAGAGTTTCAAAGCGATAGGAGCTTGGGAAAGTGGTTTTTCTAACAAACGCATATATGCACCAGCTTGCAGTGACATTTTTCACATGTTTCTAATGAAATCCATACGAAAAATGATTGTTTACTTTAAAATGTATCATTTGCTAAAGTCGTGTGAAAAAGTCATTATTAATCAAATATGCTTTAACACACAGTTTTCATTACAAACGTATATGTGCTAACAAATGAGTGCAATTTGGGCGCTGAAAACGCGATTCAGAGAGTTTCAAGGCGATAGCAGCTTGGGAATGTGGCTTTTCTAACAAACGCATACATGCACCTGCTTGTAGTACTTTTCAGCGATTTTTTTTCACATGTATCTAATGAAATCCAAAAGAAAAATGAATGTTTACATTAAAATGTATAATATTATAATGAAGGGTTATAAAGTCTAAATGGTGAATTATAATGTTTAGAAAGTCATTATTTATGAAATATGCCCTCCCACACTGTTTTCATTACGATCATCTAGGTGCTGTCTGAAGTGTGCGCTTTGGGCGCTGAAAACGCTATTCCGAGAGTTTCAAAGCGATAGGAGCTTGGGAAAGTGGTTTTTCTAACAAACGCTTATATGCACCTGCTTGTAGTACTTTTCAGTGACATTTTTCAAATGTTTCTGTTGAAAACTGATACGAAAAATGACTGTTTACATCAAAATGCATAATTTGATAATGAAGTGTGAAAAAGACTAAGTCGTGAATTATAATGCTTAGAAAGTTATTATTCATCACTAACACACAGTTTTCATTACAAACGTATATGTGCTAACAAACGTGTGCCATGTGGGCGCTGAAAACGCGATTTAGAGAGTTCACAAGGGGATAGACGCTTGTGAAAGTAGTTTTTCCAAAGAATGCCTATATGCACTATATTTTTTTTCCGTCTGAAAAATGTCATTGAAAAGTACTTCAAGCACTTTTCAATGACATTTTTCGGATGAAAAAAAAAAAAATTAAATATGTCTGTTTACATATGCATGAAATGTGTTAAAGTCTAAATTGTGTTCAGAATGCTTAGAAAGTCATTATTCATCAAATATGCGCTTTTTTCGAAAAAAACTCTGTTTGCACCATTGAGGGTGCTGAAATCGCTATTTGAGACTTTCGAAGTTTTTCATTATATAACCGGAAAGAAGAGAAGTGAAATGTTAGACATCTGTAATGTGAGCGCTGTGTTGTAACATAACCATATAACAGTTTAAAATACCCCTCTAACAATTTGATTTGATTTAATTAAAAAAACATGCAAGATGAACTATGACATTATGTCAGTAAAACAATAATTAACTTCATATGAAAAGTCATATGAAATAATGTCAAATTATATACAACAAATTTTAACGCTTGACAGTGAACCCACAACAAAGTG